CCTTGAGGTTTTCACTCTTTTACAGAGGAAGCTGAATTCATAACTTGCATTCATTCAGGTTCTTATTCACTCCTACCAATTTTATGCTGCTTATACGTATGTACTCTTTGGCCCAGCCCACACTAGAATATTCCTGATATCTTACAACAGCTATAAATCCAGGGATAAACACACTGGTTTAGCCAAGGATACTGGAAAAAAAATGTTCTTGAAAATGTCCTCTCCACAGTTCTCCCTGTCCACCCATCTATGTCAAGTCTCCTTTGGATTCACCACAGCAAAAAACACTTGCTGGGAACTTCTCAAGTTCCAGTTTTCCAAAAACTGAAGGCTTTGAGAAGACCTTTGTCCCAGCATGCTGCTGAGTCAGGCTCAGATGAGGTGGTAGAGGGGCACAGCAGGCAGTTCTCTCAAAGTGCAGCAAACACACGTGGAGCTTGGTCCCCGGCAGGCCCCGAGTGCGAGCACATTGTCCCAAGCCACTGCAACCACAGGATGTAGAGAATGACCTGAATGGGCAATGGCCAAAGACAACTTTGCAGAGCAGCGAAGGCCTCAGGGGAATTGTCTCAGCCCTGACAATTTTCCAAGTGATGTCAGCTTCAATACTCACTTTATTATGTGAGCTAGTTTTTACAGCAGTAATATCCACAGTGCTGGTGCCTTGCATAGCCACAAAGCATTGACTTCAGGTTTGACCTGAGGTACACTTTGGTCTCATTTCATTCACATCCTCATGCCTGTCCATGACCATGCCAGACACATGCACCACACACAGACCCTGACTCCCTTACTGCAGCTCCCACCTAAAGCACAGTGCCTGCACCTCTGCAGAAGTGCTCCCCACACTCCCTCCCGCAGAACAGCCCCTTTGGGGGCTCTGGCCACATGCTTGGCCACCCCAAGGCAGCAACAACAGTCACAGAGTCTTAGGACACTTCTCAACAGTTCAGGTCTGTTTGTGATATTCACTGCAACAGAGGAAGAGAGGTGGTGACGGTTTCTGGCTTCCCAGCCTGGATGAGTGTCTTTATCACTGAAGAAGCCTGAAAGAAGGCACTGGAGCTGGTGTGACAGCAAGAGTCCCCATGCTGATGGTGAGGGGCCGAGTACATCTCCATGATGTACAAGCAGAGATTTTTACAACCAAAGCCTGTGAAACACTGATCAGAATAAACTCTCAGTCTCCAGGCAAGTGTCCTTACCACCAAGACAAAGAGTTAGCAACGAAAGCCAAGCACTTCAGTGAGCCCCACGAGAGCTCTGGGTGCCAGTGTAAACCAGCACCCCATATTGAGGGGACATGGCACACAGATGGACCAGCCAGCTGCCAAGGGAAGTATGGTGCCTTCTCCAGAAATCTGTGTTTTTCCACAGAACAATAATAGCTTCACAAAAAAACAAGAGCCCAGGAATTATTCCAATTGTACTATTGGATTGCTTGGAAAGATACTGATGGGCTCAAGAAAAGTGATGAACATAATTGGGTAGGAACTGTACATTTGAATATTACAAGCTTTAACCGTGAAGCCTTCAGTTGAAACTTGTCAACCAAACAACAGGCAGAATGAGAGCTGTGGCAAATCTAAAGCTAGCAAAATGGCTGTTCAGCAGTATCTTCCAACAGCCACAGAACTGTTAGAGATGCAACAGCAAAATGAAGTGAGAAAACAGTCTATAAACAAATTTGCTACTTCAAACAAGTCTCCCCCTCCCCCAGCCCCACTAGGGCCAGAAGCTGGTGAGTATATTACTTCAAGGTCAGCAACTACTCATGAACTTGCAAGCCAGAAAGGGTCACGATTCCATCACACCAGGGCCACTAGGCGTACCTGTGTTTTTCGGCCCGTCTGCATACACTGGTCCAGGAGGTGGAGGTGCATTTTGCCATCCATACTGGGGATACCCTTGATAGCCTGGCTGGCCCGGCTGGTACGGCCCAGTAGGTCCAGGAGGATAGCCTGGGTAGGGGCCAGGAGGACCACCCGGCTGCTGTGCATAGGGCGGGTAAGGGGCAGTCGGGCCTGGGCCAGGGTAAGGTGGAGGATTTTCGTAGTTCATGTGGGATGCAGAATCCAACCTGCAGAAGAAGGAAAACAACAGAAGAACAGGTTTGCTTTTGTCCCGTTTCATCAATGACCATGTAATTCCCATTTCAGACTGTTTTCCAGGGGGCCCTGTATGAAGTGTGAGAAACAGACCTCAAAATACTTGGTCCAGCAGTGAGTTTATTTTTAACCCAATCACAGGGTCAGAGTTGAGCTGAAGAGACTTTTTTTAAGTGACATGAGTACAGCTCAGCAGCAGAGCGACTTGCTGCTTTCCAGTCATGCATTCACCCTAAGACATTTAACAGTCTTGCAACTGCAAAGCAAAATCCTCTGCTCCACCCATGATTAAATTGCTTTTAAGGGAGATTTAGAAGCTATTACTTCATGTTGCTGTCAATAACAGAAAGGAAAGCATGCAGAAATGCAGCCTGTTCTAGACATGCTTGGTAGCCTCAACAGGAGAAAGAGTGAACACAGATGGCTACTGTACTGCTAATGGCTACAAGCACCTAGACCAGCACACCGGAACAAGGCAGCTTATAAATGATTTCTTGACTACACTGTAACCCAGCATATTGCATATTCTTCCAGTAATACACAACTGAACCATAAAGCAGCCACAAGCAATCAGGACCTTGGGCTCAGTCCCATTCACAAAGCAACACTAAAGACACCTCAGAGAGTTGATGTTCAGAAAACCTATCTAACGTATTACTCAATGTACAGCTGCTAAAAGACAAGACTGGGACAATAATGCAACTTTAATTAACCTCTACGTCGCATGAGTAAGCAAACTAGATCTTATAACAGGTTTCTGAAACTTCTCCCTGTTTGAGGAACAGAAGCATCCTACCCCGTATTCAGGAGCCATCCTGCTTGAAGAAGCTGTACTCTGCCATCTCCTTTCCCCATGACGGTGCAGAAGGGTCACCACCTCCTCGCTGCTGCACACCCCCTCCCACACACCACAGGCTGCAGGGGTAAACACCAGGAGCACGATTTGCCTCCACTGAGGCTGGCTGCTGTTGGCATGGAGCAGGAGAGGCTGACCAGCGGGATTGTCTTGGATGGTGTTGGAAAGGGCAAGCAGCTGGGCTAGACCAACCTGGATGCTCAGTACTGTGCACCCACTCTTGAGGACGTGCAGAGATGATTAGCACCTCTAGACTGAGCTGTTGTGTGATGCGGATCAAAGAACTTCACCTTTGTAACCCTATAGTGAGCCCAGAGCAGTCATCTGCCTGGCAGAAGCAAAGCGAGTTTTATCTCTAGGACTATGTTTAGCTGCTGCAGTCCCTAACAGCACTGAAGTGTGCTTGGTTTGTTTACGACTTGCTATTTCATCACCTCAGAGAGCACTGACTGTCCTCCCCCAAGGAAGGATCCCTAAGCTCTCTGCTTATTTACACATTCCTCCTGCCCAAACATCACAACATGCTCAACATGGGCACCCTGGGGCTCTCCAATGCACATTGCCCCCACCCACTCCTGTGGGAACAGCCAATTTGGTCAACACACCATGGCCAGGAGAGCAGTGCTGACTCAGAACGACTCCAGAGGTGCAGCCCCGAGGGAACCGAGCTGACGACCCTCCTGTGACAGCACCAGGAGTCCCTTCGGTCTCGGCAGGCTGCCTCTTCCCCGGCCTCGCTGCCTGCCCTTCTCACTCACCTGAACTCACCACAATGCTCCCTTTGTTCTGCGAGCCAGGCACAGGCCCAGCGAGCAGCTACGGCAGAGCTGTTACCTTTCAAATGATAATTCTTAATGTCTTTGGCAAGAGGTTTAAGTATTCTAAACCCTGGCATCGGTTAAACAATTTTTATTTATTTTTCCATTGCCAGGCCAGGCAGAATGCTTAACTGCTCTTTTCAAAATGAGCAAAGCACAACATATGTTTAACTTGAGGCTCTTTAGACTCATAGAATCACTGAGGTTGGAAAAGACCTCCAAGATCATCAAGTCCAGCCATCAACCCAAGACTACCAGGACCACTAAACCATATCCTTAAGTACCACATCCACACATTTTTTTGAGTACCTCCAGGGATGGTGACTCCAGCACCTCCCTGGGCAGCCTGGGCCAATGCCTCACCACTCTTGCAGGAGAGAAATTCTGCCTAACATCCAAACAAAACCTCCCCAGGTGCAAATTCAGCCCATTGCCCCTTCTCCCAAGTAACTAGCAACAGGACAAGAGACCAATCCCCACTTCACTCCAACATCTTCTCAGGGTTGTACAGAGCAAGGTCTCTCCTCAGCCTCCTCTTCTCCAGGCTAAACCAGCCCACGTCCCTCAGCTGCTCCTCACAAGCCATGTTCCCCAGACCCCTCACCAGCCTCGTTGCCCTTCTCTGGACCCGCTCCAGCCCCTCAAGGTCTTTCTTGTCCTGTGGCGCCCAAAATTGATCCCAGGACTCAAGCTGTGGCCTCCCCTGTGCCAAGTTCAGGAGACCATCAGTGCCCTGCTCCTGGACACACAAGTGCTGTTCCAAGACAGGATGCTGGTGGCCTTCTTGGCCACCTGGGCAAATGCTGGCTTACCTCCAGCCAGCTGGCCACCAGCACGCTCAGGTCCTTTCCTGCTGCACAGTTTCCAGCCACACTTCCTCAAGCCTGCAGCATTGCCTGGGGTTGTTGTGACCCAACTCCAGGAACTCGTACTTGGCCTTTAACCACTCTACTGCACTGCAAAGTCTCTTCCAAGACTGCAGCAAGAAAATTCTCCCTTCAGAGAGACAGTGAAAGGCAGCCAGCAAGCCCTACAACTCAGTTCAGTGCAATAAATTAGAGGATTGGGATATAACGGGTCACTGATGTTCATCTAACCCAGAAAATCATCCCAAAATAGAAGCCAAAAGCAAGTTCCCAGGGAAGCACAAGGCCATAGCGAGTGCTTGTGCATACCATTGAAGATAGCAGGGTAATCGTTTGGTGCCCAGGCACCCAGCAGACCCCTGTGAACTCCTGAGTTTGCTCAGTCTTCCTGAGCCAGCGTACAGATGCCGCCCCCACACCCGACATGAGATGATCGGTAACTCTGCTGGGTGGAACATTGTCTCCTGCCCTCCTGGGGTGACAGCAGGAGGTAGGATCAGTGGTCACCCTCCTGAATTCAGGGATTCACCAAACTAGAGAGCAGGCATGTGGGAGTCCCATCTTCCAGGCCAAAGAGCGTTGAGGCATTCAGCAAACCCAGGAGGTGGCTGTGGAAACCAGGTCCTCCAAAGGTCCTCTGCCCACTCCCTCCCAGTTCCACTCAGCTGTGAAGGTCAGCCTTCTCAAATGGTCTTTGCCCCCACTTACTTGCTCAGAAAGAATTTTCCCTTGTCCTCCACTTCCACTATCAATAGCTGCCATGCAGATACCCTTCCTTACTCACCTTTTTTTAGTTCTGTGACAATATTTAGATCTTCCTCATTCTCATGAGGTCACACATGATTTTACATGCTTACTAGCCCTAGTAACTCACCTGTGTATATGTTTGCAAGGCAGAGCCTTGAATCATTAAGCAGAAACTTTCCAGCCAACATACTTGACCTCCTAGTCAAACGTATTGTCCTGCTTTGCTGTGGGTTCTCACCCCAATTAGTAATTCCATACGAGTTGCAACCAAGACCAACTCCTTGGGAGCTGGCGTCAGGGCTCGTATCTGTGGGTTTCCCAATAAGCACCTCTGGGAGACAAAGTATGAAAGAAAGAACCCAACACATCAGTTTGTTTCGCCACCCTTGTGACAACAACATCACCCTTTGTTTTCACGGCACTAAAAGAGGTCCAGTAGGGAGAAACTGCACCATGTGAAACTGCATTTAGTACCAAACAAAACAAACAGACATTTCTTCAACTAAGCATTTTTTCTACCTGCTGCTGGTTAGTGATAAACTTTTAGTCCATCTGAAGAGAATGACAAAACCTTCCTGTGCCTTCCTTCCCCGTTCCCCTTGGTACTTTTGCTTTTTAAGTTCATCAGTATATCATAAAGTTTCCCAAAGTTATCTTCAAACTCCTTTGTTCTGGGAGACAAAGGTCAAAGGAAAGAAGCCAACACATCAGTAAAGCCCTAAACATTGCCAAGCAAACATAATTTCCCGACTTTAAGGGTTTCTTTTACAACAGGCGGCTTACCATAGCCCCAAAGGCTGTGCCATCTCCCATAAGGTTGGCAAAAAAGAAACCACTGAAGGTGGAGACCACACACAACATATCACATGGAGAATACATACGGCGCTGTATGTGTGTATGTAGAGAAAAAAATATGTACTATAAATAATATATATATAAACATACACAGAGGCATCAATACATAAGAGCCACCATCCTAAAGAGCCAACATAAATCCCTCACATCTGTGACCTGTCCTTGACCAAGGCTTAGCATAAGGTACAAGTACAGAGCTATGATGCTTCACATACATGACACACCTTAACCATTTTGCTATTTTGGCAGCCAACACACCTTAGAGAAACAAATTTCATCATTAAGCTTTGAAAATACCTACTTTGTTCTGATTACTTGAAACTTGCTGCCTCCCACAAGGTCAGCACACCAACGCAGCTGCTACAGAACCAGTCGGTCACTGCTCCTGGCTCTCCTCTTCCAGCACACCCATGAATTTGTTCTCTGTTTTTGCCTCCAGGCATATCTCACAGCACGAGGGCCTCAACAGGTAGGACTTCTGGTCAGAAGGTAATGTGACGCAGGAAAACAATCAAGAACAAAGAGACCAGGGGAAAGCACGACAGAAGGAATCTCTTCCATTAGCACAAAGAGCCTTCACACCCTGCCACCAAGACCCAGTTTCACCCTCTTGCCTCCTCCAAAAGGCTACTTACAAGGCCGGCACCCCCAAGCATCCATCCTGAGGTCAGTATAATTATGGTCTTCAAAGTGACTGGACACCACTATGACTCTGCTTCTACCTCCTGGCATTGATGACACCTTGTTATCTTGGCAAAACTGAGAAGACCATGCATAGAAGAACCATCTGCATTTCTACACAGTAGGTGTTTATAGCTGTTAATCCATCTGCA